ATTATATAATATTATATTATATTATTATTCAAATATTATATTTATTATTAGTCAAACTTTTTATCAAACTGTGGAACTCACAGTTGTCATAAAAGTACAAACTTGCTCCCAGCACATTCAGTTTTCAAACTGTTATGAGTAGGCTTCACCTTTGTTGGTGATTTTTGTTTTATGTGCAGTTTACCAACACACCCAGCAATGTACCAGCCACATGACACAAACTTGTAAATAGCTGAGTCGGGACCAGATAATCCCCTGAGTTATGAACAAACTTGGATACGATGACTCGCAATCAGTGAGTCTGACCACCCAATCCTATCTGTTGCCCATTGCCACAAGTATTAGTAGTCCTTTTTGTGGTTGTGTTGAACCTTGGATAACTTGCAGTATTTGTGGATTCCTCCAACTTGGTCACAACAGTGTTTGACTGTTTATGATGTTTTGTCTATATCATATATCATGCTTGTTGCACTCTTATGGTTCATGTGTAATTGTTTACGTATTTTTTGTCCTAAACTTGCTTCCCTATAACAATTTTTGTAAATCATCCTTATTTTAATACATGTTTGTGGGTAAGGATTGTCTAAACTATCAGTACCTATTAGTCTGAAGATCAGGGGTTGAACAGTTTTTCAAAACTCCACTGGACACAGGTCCAGTAAACTTTAAAAATCCACTTGACCAAATATTAATTTCACTTAACCAGTTAACAATTTGGTTTCTTTTGCAAATAATCTTGATCAGTCATAAACAACAGAACAGCAAATACATCTAAACATTGCAAATGGCGATTGAAGAAATACAATATTCCTAAGAATATGTGAGGAAAATAAAGCACAGGCATTAGCTGGTAGCAACTGCATTTTTATTTCATTATCAAAATACATATATGAACACATTTCAGTAGTTTGGCACTTCTGTACCACGGTAAAGTTTAATGTGGATATTTACTTGACTGACTGGAGAATTACACTCGACCTGGGCATTAGGCAATGGTATTTTTCAACCCCTGAAGATCAATTCTAACCCGGATCTTCACGGGTGTTCAGTACCTAGCAGCCGACATGGTTGTATGGCAAGTATAATAAAGTAATAGTTAGTGTTAATACTTTGGTAGTTAAGAGGCCCTTGTAACCTTGTCAAAAGATATGGGTATGCCAGAATAAAATCAATAGGACAGAGAGAACACAAGAAACCCAAAACCCAACAATACTGGACGCTGCTCTGTCAAACCAGTGTATATTGTTATTGATGTATCAAAGTGCTAATAGAAGGATAATCATTTTAAGCCAACAAAAAGAAATGTTTGTGCTTCTGGTTTCCCAGCTACCGGAATGACCATAAACTGATACTCATGACCCTGAACCACTTTACCATGTATACTGTATGCTTGTTATTCTCCAGTTGCATTAAACCTGTATTCACCAGCCTAGTATTGTTTGTATTGTCTGACACTGGAGTGCATTTCAAGCGTTTCAGTGGACAATATCTAGATAAACCTGTTAGTGTTTTTCTTTTTGTCTGACACTGGGGTGCATTTCAAGCGTTTCAGTGGACAATATCTAGATAAACCTGTTAGTGTTTTTCTTTTTGTCTGACACTGGGGTGCATTTGTTGCGTTTCAGAGGACACTATCTAGATAAACCTGTTAGTGTTTTTCTTATTGTCTGACACTGGGGTGCATTTCTTTCATTCCATCATGTTCAGTTTACAATATGTACATAAATTTATCATTTGAAGAAAAACAAATAAAAACAAAATCAGTGCTAGTAGTTTGAACATATAAAAATTTCACACACACTGTTTGATTTCTGATAATGTAAGCATGATAAATGACATGAAAATTGCAATATGACAAGTTCAAAATGTGATCTACAAGGTGTTAGTGTAAGTCAGAGACATTTTTGTTGTTAAGGCCAGACCAATTTTATTTCTTGCTTTACGGATCCGCCGGTCGTATTTTTTTTAAGAATAAAAAAAGAAGTTAATTTTCCCGCTCAAAAACTAAAATCCTAATCTTGTATTGGTCATATATGTACTGGTGTGTTTTGTCCCATATACACTTCATAATTTGCCAAAAGTAAAGTACTTTTAGTTTTTTTTGTTTTTTTTTCTCTTCCTGCCTATAGGTTTTCTGAGTACAAACATCCGTAAAACAAGAAATAAAATTGGTCTGGCCTAAAACAATGTACCAAAGTCATGAAGATAGCCAATACTTTTTGCTATAGTTTTGCTAGGTTGGCAGGTAAGGTGTCTGAAAAAGATTGGGTCTGGCTGTGTAAATAATGTGGTTTTATCATGATCTGCTATCTTGGTTGTGGTGGATGTTTGAGTGAGTATTCATCCTTATCATCATATCACAAAATAGACATCTTGTATGGAGTAACTGAGTGCAAAATCCTGTTTATGTTGTTAAACTAATGTAACGGGCATCAATTGAGGGAGAGGCCATTAAAATAGGTTTGTATAAACCGTTTTATAAGATTGAATGGGTTCCTCACTATATGTGTCATCCATTTTGAATGAAGGATATAAATGTAAAGTGCCCATAATGGACTGATGTCACTCAATATGAAGTGTCGGATACAGATCTAGTGTGTTCAGTTTAAGTAGATTATTCTGCATAATCATAAAGGTATGTTACTACAACTATTGAAGTGCTGAACAGAGATACAGATAAACTGCGTATCTGTGTAAATTATGCAAATATTTATTTGGAAACTCAATTCCTATTAAGTATTGCAAATTTTTGTAAATGCTCAATAAATTTGATCTTACATGGGTACACACAAAATAGATAAAATAGCTGGTATATTGAGAGGTTCTATTTTAGCACATGAACTTACAGTCTTTCTGATCGTTTCTCATAATACAGATCAAATATAAATAACAAACATGTAAACCAACATTTGAACTTTATTATATATTTACAATTGATGGAAAATGGCAAAAAAAACACAGGATGTTTGGGTGCAGATTTGCAGCTTCATTTTAACTGTTTACTTGATCTGGGTTTCAAGTTTCTTCAAATTGTTTTATTTCATATAAACTATACATTCATTTGGGAAATGACTTCAAATGAGACAATTCAAGGAGAAAACAACTATTGCAATAGTTGGTCGCAATAGACTATCGCTATTGTAATAGAATGTTGCAATAGACTATCGCTATTGTAATAGTATGTTGCAGTAGACTATCGCTATTGTAATAGTATGTTGCAGTAGACTATCGCTATTGTAATAGTATCTTGCAGTAGACTATCGCTATTGTTATAGTATGTTGCAGTAGACTATCGCTATTGTAATAGTATGTTGCAGTAGACTATCGCTATTGTTATAGTATGTTGCAGTAGACTATCGCTATTGTAATAGTATGTTGCAGTAGACTATCGCTATTGTAATAGTATGTTGCAGTAGACTATCGCTATTGTAATAGTATGTTGCAGTAGACTATCGCTATTGTAATAGTATGTTGCAGTAGACTATCGCTATTGTAATAGTATGTTGCAGTAGACTATTGTAATAGTATGTTGCAGTAGACTATCGCTATTGTAATAGTATGTTGCAGTAGACTATCGCTATTGTAATAGTATGTTGCAGTAGACTATCGCTATTGCAATAGTATGTTGCAGTAGACTATCGCTATTGTAATAGTATGTTGCAGTAGACTATCGCTATTGTAATAGTATGTTGCAGTAGACTATCGCTATTGCAATAGTATGTTGCAGTAGACTATCGCTATTGTAATAGTATGTTGCAGTAGACTATCGCTATTGTAATAGTATGTTGCAGTAGACTATCGCTATTGTAATAGTATGTTGCAGTAGACTATCGCTATTGTAATAGTATGTTGCTGTAGACTATCGCTATTGTAATAGTATGTTGCAGTAGACTATCGCTATTGTTATAGTATGTTGCTGTAGACTATCGCTATTGTAATAGTATGTTGCAGTAGACTATCGCTATTGTAATAGTATGTTGCTGTAGACTATCGCTATTGTAATAGTATGTTGCAGTAGACTATCGCTATTGTAATAGTATGTTGCAATAGACTATCGCTATTGTAATAGTATGTTGCAGTAGACTATCGCTATTGTAATAGTATGTTGCAGTAGACTATCGCTATTGCAATAGTTGTTCCCTCCTCAATAGTCACCCCTAGTACAGCAGGGTAAATGGTAGACAGGGTAAATGGTAGACAGGGTAAATGGTAGACAAGGTAAATGGTAGACAGGGTAAACGGTAGACAAGGTAAATGGTAGACAGGGTAAATGGTAGACAGGGTAAATGGTAGACAAGGTAAATGGTAGACAGGGTAAATGGTATGCAATCTCCATCCTCACGGGCACAAAAATTTTTTAAAAAAATATAATTTGAATTTTAATGGAGTTCTTTGTTTCTATTAAAATTATGTTTTCACAGACTAAAATCCCACTTCCAGCATATACCTGTAAGAATGATGGCACAGATATGAGATTGTTCTGAAGTGGGTCGCATTAAATTATGTTTTCTGAAATGGGTCAAATATGTCAATCAATCGGCTTAGTGACCCAGGCAATCCGAGGCACATTTATCTGTCACTGCTGTCCCTCCCAAAGGAAGTTAGGAGAGACTCAGATGTTATTCACAAACTTTTGTTTCTTACTTTGTTGTTTAACTGGACCAGACAGTCCAGTGGTTGAAGTCATGATCTATCTACGCAATTGGGATTTAATGAGCTGCATGAACCAACTGATAATACAGTTCAGCTAACACTTTTTTGGCTAAACCATCTGATAAGTAAATATATGTGTATGACTCTAGTAACAACCTGATGAATGTACTGGTGTATAATCCAGATCTTCTGTGTTAACATACTGACACAAACAACTTCATGCCAAATTACTTGAATACCTAGCTATCCATAGCAAGAAAAGGTCTGGCCTCATGTAGAAAGTCAAGTCTATGGCTAAACAAGTGACTGTGCATTGATGTGTTATATATGTCTATATTTTCTTGCAGATATACATGCGTAGACGACACCGAAGTGGAGGAAGAATCATGTTGCGGGGGAAGCCAGCGTTGGTGGTTCTGGCACTACTCCTGCTAGTCGGGACATTGGTTGCATATTACTCCTGGAATCGGGGCTCCTCGGTCACCTCCAACGCTAGGTTTGAGAAATATCGTCAAGTTAGTGGTTTCAAGCAAAGGAACATGGGCAAGAAGTACAAGCCTCAAGATGGCCCTCAAATGCAGGACCCTCCCAACTTTGAGAATCGGATGTTCAAGGGCAAGAACAAGTTCGGGGGGGTCCATCAGATGCCGCTGGAACCGAAACAGTTTGGATCTCAGGAGGAACTTGAAAGAGGATTGAATGATGATTACAAGTTCAGAGAAGATGCTGACGACAGAGATGGTAGAGATTTTTATAAGGACAAAGACGTAAAGGAAGATCCAAGGAAAGACTTCAAAATAAAGGAAGACGTGAAAGAGGATCCCAGGAGCAATTTCCAAGATTTCAGTGAGAAGAAAACAGGAGGTATTCTTTATCCACAGTTGTATGTCAAGCCTGATGCGGTGTTGATTGAACGCTTCAGAAAGATGGAACACATAGTCCATATCGATTTGAAAGGGGCTCCTCCCAAGATTGATTATCTCATTCGTCTTTTCCCCCTAATGTCTAAGCTTGGAGCTACCGGTTTGTTGTTGGAATATGAAGACATGTTTCCCTATAATAATGAACTCCAGATCCTTGCTGCAAATAATGCCTACAATAGAGATGACATTAGACGTCTGCTCGAAGCTGCCAAGGTGAATAAACTGAAAGTCATCCCACTTGTTCAGACATTTGGTCATATGGAGTTTGTTCTGAAGTATCCCAAGTATCAACACTTACGAGAATCAACAGACACACCACAAGTGATCACTCCTGTTATGCTTGGGTCGTATGAGCTCATCAATAAGATAATTGATCAGGTAATGTCTCTCCATCCAGATTCCCCCTACGTCCACATAGGCTGCGATGAAGTTTATGAGTTGGGGAAAGGCTTGTCAGGAGAGTACATGAAGCAACACAACTTCACCAAGTACCAGTTGTTCCTGCAACATGTCAAGAAGGTGGCAGAGTTTGTGCCAACCAAGTTCCCCAAGACCAAAGTTATCATGTGGGATGATGAATTACGTCATATGCCAGACCGCTTGATTGAGGTAGGGTTCTTCCTTTGTTTTTAGATGTTTTCATGTAATAACAATTGGATACTTCAGTAGGGCATAGCTGGCACAATTGGCTGTGAAGAATTGTGTCACTTTGGAATGACAGAACTTATGATTCTGTGTTCGAATCTTATTGTCCTGATTGATATTTCTGGATTTGTCAGCTCAAAACCTGTGCTCTTAGGTTTCACAAATGAGGTACATGATACAGGTACATACGGTACATATCAATCTGACACACCATGTTATAACTGAAATACGGTTCGAAGTGATGTTGAGCAGAAACACATTTACTCCTCACTTACATTTTACTTTCAGTTTCTGGGATAGCCTAATGGTTTAAGTGTTTTCATTACATATACCGTGTCCTGGTGATAGAATGTTTTTATGATTGATTGACAATGTGAGGACTTGGCACAATGTGTCACATTGCACCAGGGACGGTGGGGTAGCCTAGTGGTTAAAGCATTCGCTTGTCATGCCGAAGACCTGGGTTCGATTCCCCACATGGTTACAATGTGTGAAGCCCTTTTATGGTGTCCCCTGCCGTGATATTGCTGGAATATTGCTAAAAGCGGAGTAAAACTAAACTCACTCACTCACTCTTCCAGATTGCATTTAGTGTGCTACATGCTGATATTATTGAGAAACAAATAATTCTTCAGATGCAATTTTGTTACAGCAATCTGGCTTGGGAAGCAAGGTAGAGTTGATGGTTTGGAGCTACACTCCCCATCCCAGTCAGAGATTCCCAAAGGACATGTGGGCCAAGTACAGCAAGCACTTTCCTGGAGTGTGGGCAGCCTCGTCCTTCAAGGGCGCAACTGGGAGTGCCCAGTTCTTCACCAATGTCTCCTATCACCTTGAGAACCACATCAACTGGATTCAGCTTGTGAAGCAAATCAAGGACATTCTGCCATTGGAGAAGTTCCGAGGATTTGCAATGACTGGATGGCAGAGGTATGATCACTTTGCCACCTTGTGTGAACTGTTACCATCATCAATTCCTTCAATGGCTGTCAACCTAATGGCCATTCAAAATGGTGGGTTCACAGCAGACATACACAATGTCACCAGCAAGATGCTAAATTGTAGTCAACTGATTGAGCTTGATTTTCCAAAGAAAGTGAATAATTCATACATCATATCTCAAGACTGCAAGTTCCCTGGAAGTATGTTCTACTATGCTGTGCAGCAGTTGTGGGGAGACATGGACAAATATCACAGCGATGCTGGCCTTCAATCGAGAATTGAGGGCTGGATGACTAACTACCATGTAAAGAACCAGTTCTCAAACCCGGGACAGATGAAAGTTTTGAAGAAGAAGCTTGGCAAGATTCTCGAGAAGCTTAAGAAGCTTGAGGTACCTGTACGTGACTCTTTGAAGAGTGTTTTTGATGCGGAAACAATTGAGGAATGGGTTCAAGTGCATCTGAATCAGAGGATTAATGATTTACAGGACAAATACAATAAGGCTGACATGCTGCTACAAAAGAAAGTGTGGAATAAACGACCTCCGGCAGCTGGAACTTCACTAAAGCCAATGATGAGAGATTTCTCACACGCTTATAGGGAGCAGCAGCGACAACAGCAACAGCAGCAGCAGCAACAACAGCAGGGACAACGTTTTGCCAATGATGTGGCATATAGGCAGGGTCAGTCAAAGGTTAACAGTCAGCTTGGCAACCAAAATGGATACCAGCGACAGTCGCAAGACAAAAGAATACTAAATATGCAATATAATGTTGGAAACCAGCTGAGTTTCAATGCACGGAATGGACTACTAAACAACCCAAGTGGGGCACAACAAACATTCGGCCAACGCTCTCAAGGCAGTAATTTAAATAATCCTTTGGGCAATACAAACCAAAATCAGAAACCTTTTGGACAGAATGCTTTTCGCCAAAATAATCTCCCACAGAATGTTGGAATAGATGGAAAGAGGCAGTTCAATAATGGAGACAAGTTCGACAAAACGAGAATTCTGATAGGAAACAATACGTTCCAGCAATACAAGGCTCAGAATGGCGGCGATCCAAAAGGACCACCTGATGGTTTTCCTGGAAAAGACAAACCCCTGGGTAACATCTACCTTCAAAGAGCTAAGGGCTTCCAAAATGGAGGAAGTGACCCTTTGAAGAGAGGTGATGAAGTTAGAGGGCAGCAACAGTTTGAGAAGAAGGACAATCAGATGAATGGACTAAGGAAAGAAGGACTGGATGATGCTAAGAGAAAGGATGCTCTTGGCGGGAGTAAGTCTGTCCAAGGAGAAAACAAGTTGTTTGACAACAAAAAAACACTGTTTAGGGAGGTCAAGGTGGAAAAGCAGTTTGGGGATGTAAACAAAAGAAGTGTTAATGGGAAGGGGGTTGATTATAATGATGGAGAGGAGGAGGAGGTCCAGAAGGAATTACGGCGAGGATGGAAGTCGAAGTGACCTGATTATATCCTGTGAATATGTACAGTCTCATGTTTAACAACAATCCTTTTTGGAAGGAGAGACGTTGGTTGTCTTTAAGGAATGATGAATGGATTGTATGCAGAAGAAAGATTGATAAAGATGGAATTTGATTCAGATAAATGACTGGTCATAATGTTATAATTCAACAGAAATTCTATGGAAAATTGGGTAGATTTTCAAACACTGGCGTAACTGATAACACTTAATAGCTGTCAACAACAAATTGTTGGAATAATTGATACTAATGTATTACCATTTGGGTGATTTAGTAATGTATGACAATGTGTAGGATTAAGGTAAATGTGTTTCTTGTGATTGTTTCAACTTGGCTTCTGTCAAAAGAAAATTATTCTATTAAATCTGAATATGGAAATGTAAGCATGTTTATTTTTCCTCATATGTTATCATGTAAAAAATAGTTTTATATCTCTAACGCAAAACAAGGAAACTTTGAATGGTATTTAACAGGATGATGATGATGATGATGATGATGATGATGATGATGACTATTCGTTATTAATATGTCAACTTGTGATAGACAGCTATAATAGAAGCAATATACAGAGATGCCAACACTTGGATTTTCAAATACAACATTTGCTCTCTGATTTGTCTTTAAAAACTATGATTTTTTAGAAACTACAAGTATATGTTTATGAATTTAGAATGTTTGAAATAATTTTAGTAAATATCCATTTAAATATGTTAATTTGAGTTATGTCTTGAGTAATGCAGGAAATTGCTTATTTCCACGCTAAATCTAAAGATTTTCATGGGGGCGGCCCCCAGACTCCCACCATCCAAAGGGGCCAAGACCCTCTCACACTCACCCCCAGGTCGCACCTTCAGGGCTCAGGGCTAGGTTTCAGGCAGGAAGGACTCCGCTTTCATTAGATTCAGGGTTGACGTCTCTGAATATATCCCTGTAGGGATGGCTATCACAATAGATAATAGAGATTGATAATTGTTAACTAAATATCGATTGATTAAAAACTAAGTTTGAGCGAAAGTGGCTGAAGGAAATTTTATGAAAAGTATTGAAAATCAAAATGAAATTGTAGTTATGGTAAGGTAGATATGGTCTCGTCTTGAACTGTTGTCTGTCATCATCAGGGGTGTAGGAACAGCCTTGTTCCTACACCCCTGATGATGACAGACAACAGTTTACACAAGTTTGGAGATGTTTTGTCACGATTTTGATCTTTGTAAACTGGGTTACCATCAAGCACGGGAATACTATGAGTACGTGAGAAGTCGAGCTTCTGCTAGAAGTGGCACAACTTATTCATGGGAACAATTTCTTATATGCATCTTGATATTTGGTCAATGTTATACATCAGGTATTATAAAACATCATAATTGTGGAGGTTTAATCGCTCTACCTGTTTAAAACTGACACAAGGCATGTGTCAATCATCATTAGGATAAGAGTAAATCCTAAATGGTGTGACACATTGGTTAAGTGTTTGTGATTGACAAAACAATATATGCACTCATGCAGTGTGTGAAATAGCCACTGGCCCGCTAGTCCGTGGCTAGTAAAAATCCAGACAGGCCAGTAAATCTCCAGTCACTGGCCTGACTGGCTAGTGAATTTTCATTGGGTTATTTTGTAAATATATCACTCTCTCCGACTTGTTAAGTTATAATACACTTTCAAATGCAAGATTATGGCCTGATAAAAATGTTCATCAGCTTAATGGTGAGCAGCTTAATGATGAAACCTGTGTCTACATTCAGATATTGGGCTAGTGAATTATTTTGTGTGCTGGTAACTTTTAGGCATAGCTAGTCCGACTGGCTAGCAAAATGTGGAAACTATTTTGCACACTGTACTCATGTTTGTCTTGTGTTTATAAGTTGTCACCATGATTGTATTTGTAATTAGGGCAAGATCTAGAAATATACGCAGGAGATGTTCATAAAACCATTCCATCCAGATCAGCTGAACATGTTTATGATACTTCCCTCTGTGAAAATATTTTCTATGATGTGCACAATTATTTGTATATTTAGAGATGTTGAACATTTGGTGAATGAAGTTGCACTGTGCAGACAGAGATACAATATATGGCTGAATGTTTGGATGATTGCACAATTCCTGATTCACACTGTTCAATGTTGTACATAAACATCAGGAAGTTTCTCAATCCTGATTGTGTGACTTCGTAGGTCTTCATCTGCTGCCTTATATGTTGTCTTTTATGATGTTTTTTTTGGAAACTAAAATATACAGCATGCTTTGTTGACCTCCGAACTGTCGACCATCAGACCTGTATAGCATGGGTTTTCAATTGACTAAATGGACCGAAAAACACCCTGAACTGAAAATAGCCATGTTTGCTGAAGATGATGCTACACAACAACTTTAATTGGACCTTGTTCACACTGTCAACTACATATCATAGCCTTCCCACCATGGTTGTTGTTTTCACTCTGCATCACTATTTCATGACAAACATTCTTTGCATGAGTGATTCTGCTAGCTACCAGCTGTTGAGGGTTGCTTTTATTGTTTGCAATAGTCGATGTCCAATGTTTGCTTCAAATTTGACTGATGCACATGAGAAAGTCCTGATTTTGAAATGACCTTGATTTGATATCAACTGTTTTTTGCCCAATTGACTGTAAAAACTGCTTTGTTGACAAAACACAAGTGTTTTTTCTATGTGTTTTCATTTCAGGTATTCATTGATATATTTTCTGTATTCATTTGCTGTTTCTTTTAAATGCTGATGTTAAATCATTTGTTATTTGTTTGCTCAAACTGAAAAGCAGCTGATTGAACAAAAACATTTATAGTTCCAAAACTGTTAATTTGCTCATTCATGTAATAACTAGGGCTTGGACGATACACTATGTCACGATACGATATGTATCATGATATTATACCTGCGATACGATATGTATCATGATACATACACCTTGAAAGAATGACAGTATTAAGATTTAAAATGATTTATTTCAAGGTATTTGTGTATAACAATAACACAATTGTAATAGACAAACAAGTAACTCTGTCATACTTTCATATTTTTCTCTAAAAATATACTTTAACATGTTTAAGATAATACTGTTTTAAAAAAATGTTGTGTATCGTTTTGTATCAATACACCAATCGACGATACGATAGCTGTATCAAACTTAAATGTATCGTGATGTATCGGTGAATCGTCCCTGCCCTAGTAATAACAAATTGACTGAAGGCTATAGACATTAAACCTTGCTGTAGGTATATTCACATTCCTAATGAATTACAAATAAGATGTTTACATTTGTTCACTGTGGACATTGCTGCATATAAATTTATTGATTTTCACTTGAAATATTGCATTAAACACATGAAATATGATTTTAATTTCATATTTTCACAGAATGAAGGTATTTTGTTGGAAATGGGGATTTGTCAGAATGTCAGAGATTAGAAATACTGTATACATATCGTACTTGACATCTATTGGGGAGATTGACATCCCTCACTTCTGCCCCGACAGGTAACAGCTGCAGAAGCAGGTTATTCCAGTCTGAGAATGTACTTTGCAGTTTCAATTCATGTCAGGTTATTTCATGGGTTGTCATGGAAACATAATATCTGGCTTGCTTAATATGTTCACACACTAGTGTTTTCCTGAAAGTCAAACTAGGAATTGAATCCAAATCCCAAGTTTACTAAACTAAGAGGGAGTAGTATAAGAGAGGACTGGATATAATTTACACTTGGTTTGTAGTTAGTTGAAAAAATAACTGTTCTCGTCGTAGGTTTATTCTTAATAACAGACCACCAGCCTTTGGCATTTAGACAAGGACAAATTGCAATTCTTTACAAATCCAGACAATTGTTTCATTAAAAGAACAAATATTTTATTCATTTTCTTGTCAGACATCAGATAATTTTTGAGTGTAAGAAAGTAATTCATATTTGGAATTTATATTGTGTGTGATGAGAAAGATAGTTTGGCCAGTTCATGGCCTATGGAGTTGAAATCCAGGGGATGTTTATTTATGCATCCTTTTGTATACTGGAGCTCCTCGCTAAACCCTCAAACGTGTCTGCAAACTAAGGGGTTTGCTTGTAATAATGTTCGAGTCAAAGTCGATTTAATGCAATGTTGCATTAATTCATTTGAACAATTTAATATTGTAATCTAATAAAATAAATTATATGGTAGCTTCCCATAGGGCTGATAGTGTTATTGAGAGAAATGCATTATATATATTCAGAGATGTGTGGCATCAAATGGTGCCTTTAAGAATTCCAGAAGAGTGACCTTCCCTGAAATAAGTTAACTTACATTGATTTTGGTGGAGGCAAACAACATGAGACACCTTTCTGCCTCGAAATTTTAGGTCATTCTCTTAAAAAATTCCAATTTTGAACAATATCTTCAGATATTTTGAATGACAATAGTCAGTGTCATAGAAAATGAACTGATGCAAAACCCTAACTTACAATTGTTTTACAGTATTTGTAAAATGTATTGCAGTTTTGAGGTAGCAAACAAATTGAGCTTGTAACAAATCTTGGTGTATGGGGCCTCACAGTGACTAAACATTTCCTTTGTCATAGAATTATTTATACTGAAGGGAATCCACATGTCCACATACTTGACAGGTTCAACAGGTGGTTGTAAATAATGTTACACTTTTAAACCAAACAATACAATATTATTTTAAGAGCTGGGTAACAATGACTTATGGCTTGTACGATTTATATTGTGTCTGTGTTGGGAGTATTTAATCAAGGGTCACAGAAAACAATATTTGAAAGAATCGTGCAGCTTGTTTGACAAATGTCTAGTTTTTGCATGTGCACATTGATTAAGTTTGAATTTTCATAGTTATACATGTCTGAAGCCAATTAATGGTATGTTTTATATTATTTTCAGGTTATAGTTCTTTCTACCGGAGTAACAATTTTCTCATTCTACTTCATACTATTTTTATGGGTTCTGCAAGGTTTTGTTACATTTTTTCAGATTTTAGAGCACGTGTTTATGTATGTGAGGGCAAGTTGGTTGTATGTAAGATATACATCAGCATAATTTCAAAGTTGGCAGGAGATTTTTAGTGAGGATAATTTTGTGTAGGAGAATAGGACTCATTAGAGAGTTCAGTGTGGGATGATTTTTGTTTTGTTATGTTAGAAGAATGTTTCCAGTAGCATTTAGTTTTTATGTTGAACAATCTGAGGTTTCAGCAGACATCATTTTCTGAGCATGGTAGTATTTCACTGAATTGAGTGGTTGGTAGATTCGGGTATGTTGTGCTTAAGTAAGCCTTACAGCCAATGAGAATTGTTTCATTTCTCTTTGCTAACAACAGGCACACTGTCACAATGTTGCTCCCAGATTGAAGACAAGCACTTGCTCAATGGCAAAAATCCTATACTGAATAATTGGAACATTAGTTCAAAACATGATCTTTTCAGGGATGGCAACAGGAAAATCTATTTTTAGCTGAAAACTTTGACGATTCACAGAATTGATCAATTTGAAATAAATCCGTGGAAATCTGTGGATCAGCGGAAAATTGCCATCCTTGTCTTTTGTTTCAACCTGAGAAATCAGCCATACACTTGCACAGAATACATGGGTCTGACTAGATGTCACAATCCTTTACTGTATGTTCCCTTGATTGAAATCTGTGCTTTTTGTTTTTGTCTCTTCATGTGATCACCTCTTAGTTGGTGTTTTTTACAGTTAATGTTTCACTTGTGTTTTCCTGTTAACATTAATGCCACCTGTGGTGTGAATAATCATTAATGTTTAAATATTCCATCTTATAAGACTGTGATTTGCAATAATTTCTGATAATATATATGTTGTTGAAATTGTGATAATTTCAAAGTTACAAATCATGAAGACTAGTATTTGAACATGAAAGCCCCCCACCTGTGACATTTTGAAATGTCAACCTGCCTTAGATGGTACAGTTACAATAAGATGTTTTGAGTCATCTAGATATGTGTAAAAGAACAAACATTTATTTCGTGACATATCCCTCACAAGATGAAGACAAGCTTGACTTTAATTTACAAACATGAGTTACACTGCAGGAATTACGCCAAGGAGATTATCACATTATCACCAGATGCATAATGTATTTTATTTATTTTTTACATTTAAAACTCAAAATTCTGATTTATCCAGAGCCTGTCTGCTGCAGTAACAAATTGGTTATGGCATAATTATGAAAGAAGGAGAAGTTTAATTTTATATATCTTTGATCAAAGTATTTTTGGTGGACTCCCAATTTGGTTAACTCTCAGCAAAACTGTCTGTGTATAAATTGTGTCGATGGAACACAAGCAGGTGAGATGATCACGCCTCAGCATTAGATGTTTGGCACTTGAAAATCTGAAAATTGTGTTGCAAGACAAAGTTCACACAATAATATCTTTGAAAAAGGCCCAAAGCAAGTGTGAAAATGACTAACCAAAACCAAGTCAGAGGTTCAAGTTAGGGTAATTGTTTTACACACCAGCAGAAGGGTAAGAAACTTTCTCGTTTCATCTGTTTGAACGACCCACGCATGTACATATGCTCATGCAACTTTGATTGCATGCACTCTCAAGAACACCTGTGACGAAACAAAGAAGCTGATGTTGGTAGACTGAATTATATGGGCTATAATCATGACAATATATTCAGTTTAATTAAACAGATATCATGTTAATGTTTTCAGTGTCACATGAAATGTGATTTAGATGTAAATTGTCCAATTCAAACATCTGTCGTGAAATGAATGTTGTAACTAATTCAGCTCTAATTCATGTTTACACCATTTGTGGGGGTATATATTTGCATTGTACAGTTTTGCATTTTCTCTCAATAAAGCTGTGGTTTACATTCTGTTTTATATTATTATTGCCTTCTGTAGAATGATGCTCATGATGTTGATCACTGGATTGTTGACACATGGCGAAGATCACTGGATTGTCTGGCCAAGACCGCAACCATATAGCTGGAATATTGCAGAGTGTGGTGTTAAATGGGAAAAAATTCGTACATTAGCCTGGAGCTAACATTATGAGCAAAGACCGTTGTCTACAAGAAACAATGGCCTCAAACTTTGTCATCACATCTGACCAAATGAGGTTGTTGACAACCTAATCCAAACTGTAATTTGTTTTCCTCTCTGAAAATAGTCTTTCATCTCCATTTTTTGGGCGGTGGGGTAGCCCAGTGGTTAAAGTGTCTGCTTGTCACGCTGTAGATCCAGGTTCGATTCCCCACATTGGTACAATGTGTGAAGCCCATTTTGGGTGTACCAAGCCATAAAAGCGGCGTAAAACTAAACTCACTCACTCGTCTGCATTTTCATCTCAGGACAAAGACTGCTTCAACAAACACTTCCAGCAATGTTAAAATTGTTTATTGAGTGAGCGCGAGATGACAACAATGGAGACAGGGACATAGCATATATACAATGTTAAAACCATTACAACTATTTTGTACTGCGTCGTGAGGGCTCTGATGCTGTGGGTGGGGAAGGGGGGCCCTTCCGGTCTAAGTCGTCGATGTACTGCATTAAGATCTTCCTTCGTTCATCCTCCACACACTCCAAAACTAGGTAGCTCTTGTCATTCTGACAACAAAAAATACACAAATTATTTCTACTGTGACATACCTGCATTTCATACTCTTATTCCTGTTTTGAGGAATTTAAAAATTTATGTGACTTAATGGCGGGTTCTTTTGTTACTCAAAATTTATTGTTGGATTGTTATTGAATGTCATAAAATATTTCAGCTAACAAAGATGCCTGTAAACTGTTTGTTCTGGGTGAGACAAAGTGAAGGTTCACAGCGTAACATACCACAAAAGCATGGGTAACATGACATTATCAACCATGATAGCGTGACATTCAGATCCAATATAAGTCTCTAATAACAATGGGCAACAGAGCACTATAATAACCAGCCCGCACAACACTTACTTGAAGTATCTTTTCAATGTCCTTGAGATGATGGTCAGTATCTTCCAGCATCTTTTTGGACCTGAACAACACAAGAAGAAAAATATGTATGTATTGACAACAACAGGTAGAAAGTTTAAGGATCAGTGAGTTTACATCTAACATCTCAGCAGTGTTACACTTTCATTAAGTTGGAAAGTAGGCCTAAATGAGGGATACTTTTAAGTCACCAAGGATAATAACAAATCTCTGATGTCAACCCACAATTCGCTGTTTGAATTGGCGGGGCACTACTTATATCCTGTGTACATTATTTTATTTAATGCTTTCATCACTCTCCACTTCAATGCTGAGGTAGCTTTTCTGAAATTATCTTCACTTGGGTGCTAGAAAACAGTAACTCTTACCCCTGAATTATTTGTGCATTTAATTTATTAAATGCAAGATTTGCCGTGGTGAAGCTGGGAGAGACTTACCGGTATGTAATGAGTTTTGTTTCTTTCAGAAGTTCACGGAAGTCGCTTTTAGCCTGGACAAACTTCTCATGCATATATTCATTGAATTCTTTTTCGCGTTTCTGAAACACAGACAAACAAAACTTGACACAACATAACAATTGTTCTTCTATGACAATCTTGTCTGGCAAGAGAGGTTTGACAATAACATGTGGCACTTCTAGTTTTAACAAGTGATGAGGGAGCGCTGTTGTAATAATCCTCAAAGTATAATCTTTATAAAGATTCTTTCACTGGTCATGTGACCCAAAGCAGGGATCGATTTAAGCATTAAGAACTTGCACTGGTGCATCCTGAAACTTCTAAGTGCAAACTCATATTTATCCCAGCACACACCTAGTGCTTCAAATTTAACAATTTACACAGGGTCCTAACATGAAATGCATTCCACTGTCAATCAAGTAATACAGCTAAATTAAAGATTATTTATGTTTGATCTAGCAAACCTACCTACATTTCACAATATCAAGATATTTTTAGAAAATAATTTGCATTTTTCTAACTCATATGAATGTAATAAGATTAGTACAGGTTCAGATGTTCCTTACTGAATGACACCCTAAATGGTTGAAATCACCCACAATCTTTCAAGTCCCTTATGCTGAAATTAACCAAAGTCAACAAACTGTTCTTTGTCCTTGCAATTAACAACTCGATTCATAAACCTGTGTTTGTAGTGGAATCAAGACAATAAGTCTGATGTCATCAATGAATGACAATAAGTCTGATGTCATCCATGAATGGTTTGGCAGCTGCCTGGTACCCACCCTATCACTAGAGGAGAACTTGCTGTAGCGGGGATCCTCCTTGATTAGCTTCTTGGTCTCCTTCCAGTGAGACGTCAGTGAGATCTGCAGCACGAGAACATGTGAGACAACAATGTACACTATCATAGAGCAACGTCTGTGCCCATCAGAAATCACTCTTTTCTCATTCCCCCTCTACATTTATGACAATGACATGAGCATGTATTCAGTGAGAGAGTTGGAACACCATTCTGGTTAGTCCTTACACTGGCAGTGACACAGGTCTTAACACCCCCACCCGCTAGAATGAACGAATGTGGATTGGTGGTGACAAACCTCGAAACATTATTGAGCAAACCGGGGACCACTTGCACAATTCGATCTTAATGGATGATGATTGTAACTCCCATTTTCCAATACAGACTTGTCACAGATATGCTAAGGTCACTTTTTTCAAGTGGGTCCAAGACGCCAACCCATGCAAGGGAGGCAACTGTTCACAGATAAATGTGGTGCATTAGATGTCAGTGTTTTATGTGCCCTTTTACCCCATTAGAGAATTGGTTTCTAATAAGTATATCATTACCAGCATGAATCTGGGATTCAAACACATAAATCATATAACAGATGGTAATACAAAACTCAAAGATATTAAGTTATTCCTTCCCAGGTTGGTTTTCAATCACTCCCTGCAACCTAAACCCCTGACTATTGTGAATAATGCTTACACTTGTTGCTTCATTTTCACTATTTCAGCCCATACCTCGACTGTCTCCTCCAGTAGTTTGTGGAACATTTCCTTGTTTCTCTTAGTCAAATTTTCGATGTGTTCCTCGAACAGCTTCTCCTTCTCATCACGGTCCAACTGATCCGCCTGGTCCCAGCGGTGATCCCTCCGAAGCTGTTTGCGGGTATCTCGCCAGCTGGCCTCAGAGTTCCGTACCTGAAGTGCAGAGGGTAAGAGGATGATCACAGCTGTCTATAACCTGCCTCTGACAGTCCATTATGTCTCTACTTTCTGCAAGTCACTCCATCTTACATGACTCCATGCAATAGAGCTGTGGAGGTCCCACGAGAAATACGAACAAATATTTAGTATGGCATTGTTTAGTCATACAAGGGCCTAAGATTGCTGTCTTTAATCTAACCCTGAGGGTCCTTTTGTACAACTACTAAACTGGATGGAAAAATGTTCAATAATTTAACTCGTATTTGGATTTGCATCCAGTTTCAAGACATAAACCCTATTTCCTCCAAATCCATCATCTAACAGACAAAGCATCACCAGGAAACATGAACAAGTTGCAATCCCATCAATTGGCCAGACTCACCAGATCCGCTAGGAGGGCCTTGAAATGCTGAATAGACTCGTCCTTCTTGTGTTGTTCCCGCTCCTTGTCACGCTCGCGGAGAGAGTTGGACAGTGTCCTCTGTACCTCCTTTTCACGTTCACGCAGACTGTTCTCGATTCTCTCCTGCTTTTCCTTCTCCTTCCGGTCCTTCTCTCGCTCTTTCTTCTCTTCGGAGTCGGAGTCCTATCAGCACAAGGGTAACAGAAGATTAACAGAACATCAGCAATATTCTCCTTATCACAATTCCCTGCTTATCATAGCTATGTTAATAACACCTACTGGACAGCTAGGTTAAACACCAGTTTGAAGAGTTTTCAATATTATCACAGCATAATCATAACTTGTCCTGGGGCACATGACCGAATAATCAGGCAATCAATCGATCTGACTTGTGTCAGTGATTATCAATGGGCTCAGGAGACTAATCGATATTCATAAAAAATGGAAAATCAAAGTAAACTTCAGAAATCAAATTTCTTATTGAATTGTCAATATTTAAATTATGGATTGTTGTTAAGGTCAAGTGTTGTCTTTTATAAATTAGTGACATGGTTTATAGTTGTTCATGCGATTAACGATTGTTCCTAAGTGTCCAAAAACACAAGATGAAGATCCACAACATACACTCTTTCGTTCCTTGCATAGCCGGTTTAGACAGCGTCCTGGATTGTCGAGCTGATACGGTTACGTACGACTAGAACTGAACCAGTTTTGTCACTCTCGTAAACAATGTAAATTGTTGTATCAACTCACTAATTACATGTACAAGTATACCCACACTGAACTAAGATTAAATTATCTTTGTCGGCAACCATGTAGCTTCAACGCAGGAGTAATTGGATACGCATGTACGCATGTGCCGGATTAGACAGCGCTGATTATTGTATAAACACATATTGGGGCGGCTCATTTCATGCCGAGATCTGGAATTGACAGCTGCCGGATTGCAAAGCTCTTAAATAATGATAAATGTACGGGTCTGAGATTTTATGTTGAGGTTGACAATAGTGGTGTTCCGATTAACTGAAATAATCGAAGATTGGTCGCAGTGACCAAACGACCAAGCAATTGATCACATTTTCTTATAATCGAACACAAACGATTTTGGAACTGCTGTTTTAGTCTTTAAAACACTTGACGATGGAACATATCTTCGAAGTTGTCGGGGCCTGCAAACTTGTTAAATTCTTAGAAAACTCCCTTCACTAACTGAAAGGTCATGACTGAATATTTCTTGAAGACTCCAGGAAGTTTATGGTCATGATATATTAGTCATCACTTTAAAGTAGCAAGTCGCATCATCTTATACCTATCTGCAATAACAACCTGGATAGGAAAATCTGAAAAATGATGCTAACCAATTTTTTTCGATGATTGTTCGATGGTAAAGAAGCAATCATCAATTGTGAGATTTCAACCAATTCCCAACACTAGTTAACAACATGCCAGATTGGACAGCTTCCATTGTATTGTGACAACAATACAGGAGGCAACTCTGCAGTGAAGTACTGCACGTGAGAGGCCTCATCTCTGTATTTGTAAGTATAATGACATGGTACGTACAGTGTCAAGATTCCGAACATAGTCCTTGAACCAGTCCTCTCGCCTGGAGCTGCTGTCTACTGCTTCATAACGAGAATCAGAATTGATTTTCTTTTTCACTTCACTCCAGCGAGAGTGCCGATCAAGTCCCGATGTCTCCTTCAACAGACTGATGAAGTCGGCCTTCAACTGAAATATCCAAAACACACCGTTCACATATCGATCCCAAACATCGTGAAGCATTACAAAAAGCCCTGAAACAAAACAATTAGACTGGAAACTGATCAATTCCTGATCATAAGTGGAGCACTCATTGGAGAAATGGTTTAGCAGGAATAAAAAAGGTCTTTCATCATCGAACAAAACAGTTATTCATTACAGAGTTGCCATAGAATATTATACTGTACAATTTATTGCATTAAACTGACTTTTCTTGCAAGATTATCATTGCAATAGATGATGTAATGGCATTTATCTGTCCCTAGAGCAATGTTTTGTACAAAATCTACCCTCACATTTGATGCAGAATAAACCAATATTTTGGAAGTATTACGGCATAAAATCAGAGCAACATTTACTCAAATGTTTCATCGTTATTCTGTCTTGAAATGTGAGAGTTAATTTATATGAAGACATATCTGGACGATCTTCTTCAAAGGGTAAGTTGTGCTAAACTGAGAAGCACAGAGCATCAAGGATTACAAAGGACACATATTGCTGAAGACGTGGACATTTAGGACGTTTTCACAATCGCCCAAATATCTCAATCTGACAATTCATCAAAAGAGACGTTAAAACCCTATTTGAAACATTACATTTCATTTCTATGCTGACATTTTTACTGATTAAAATTCTAGACAAAATACTGATACCCACTTTCAGGCTAAGAAAAAACAACATAAACTCCAAACTTATCTTGTGCTTTAATGAAAATGAGTGTTAGTAAATTTGACCAGCAAGGGACAAAACAGGGAAAATCATTCAGCCTGAAAATGGGTTTGCATTTTCAATTATTCAATCATTAGAACTGATTACAGATTCAGATTTATATCTGATATGAAGTCTTTATAGATTTTCATCCATAGGAAATTCCAAGAGGTCCAGTAACTTCATTGTCTCTTTCATGTGTCGCATATCGAACAATGATTTACAGTTTATTCCAATGTATCTGACCATATACTGGCACACATTAAACAGTACATTAAACTCTGTCTCACATATATGTTACGTCTGTGGCCTATCCATGGGTTGTAAGAAGATCTGAAATTTCAGTCAAAATTGGAATCCGGTCACTTGCAATCTCATGAGAAAGTAGAGACTGAACTAAAAAGAATTCCTAAATGTTTTCCAAAAGGTTTGCCACTGTAAGCCAAAATGCTTGAAGGTAAAATGAACTGAACATTTGTTTCTTCACATGGTGTGAACCCAAATGTATGACATGGTTTCGACACTTGAAGACACAATGAAGCAAGACCTTCCATTTGACAGAATCTTGCATTTACTGATTCATTCAGTTGTGTCATCATTGTGTTGAGTGAGACTTGAACCCAAAACTGATCAATTTAAGCATGTTAAGAGGGACCAAAAGAATCATGAAGAATCTATATATGCATGTAACTGGTCTTTCTCCATTTACCCACAGCAAACAGGAGAAAAGGTTAATCATTCACATATTCAGTTATTGTGTCATTACATCTCTGAAATATTGTGATGTGAAAATCATCACTGTGGCAAACAATGAAACAACTGAATGATCATCTCATGATCTGTGTTGACAATGACATCCATAAATTTTCGTTAACAGAGAAGAGAAACAATATACCAGGCTTTGTGCCTCTCACATACTCAGAGTTTTTTGCACCGCTATTGCAAGGTGGGAAATCCCATAATGCATTGCAACTGAGAGAGACAGGAAGTTGTACATCGACAATTTCAACCCCGGGATCTATTCGACTGTGCTGCTCTCTTCTTTAGGTTGGGACATAAATCGACAATTAATAATAGGTAAACAAATACATTCTCTCTTCAAACAGAATGAATTATTGCAATTACAAATTACTTTTCTCTCTCATTTTTTCTTTACCTTTAAGCTCCATATTTTCTAATATAAGATATAACATTAATTCTGAAATTAAAATCAACAGAAGTTACTGGATTTTTATTTAAACTGATAAAAATCAATCTTAAAATAAAAGGCTAGAATGAAATATTTAAATCAATATGAAATCATTCTAACAAATTCAAAGAGTTGCAAAAATAATATATCATAAATATCTGAACATGCTATACTGTCATGGCTGCCATTTGCATTGAGGCTATGAAATATTACTATTTATATTACACACTGTTGACAATGAATATGTGTATTGTCCCTGACGATATGACATACAATTGCATTACACATCATACAGACATGATTATATGCCATTCAAAGCCTCAGTAATTGGCTTTAACATTTTTTATATAATAACACATTTATATCTGAAAGAAAAAGGATTATAAATCTCCTAGTTTTCATTTCCTATCAACATTTTCAAAAAACATGGAGAGATTTATTTTATCAAATTTGAGCTTCCTATCTAATAACTGCAAATAATATTTAATGTTATACAAATAGACTGAAATATTAAGTCCTGAACAGAAAACTTTAAGCAAAACAAATTTTCCTTATTTCTGCAAGATCATTCAGAAAAATCAGGACAAGTTGTCCCATGAAATGCCATTTTATTAAATAGAAAGCTCAAATAGATATGCTGAAACAAAAGGCATTAGAACTTAGTGATTTATCTTCATGAAATCACATTTAGCCACAGAACATAAATATATAAATCTAACAAGTTTATTTTACAGTCTGATGAAGAGATATCACATTCATGTGTATTTTCTGACAGCTTGAAACACAGGATTTAGCAGCCTATGATCAATGTCTAATTTGTACTTACAATGCTGAAAAAAATCCTTATCAAATTATCGATATGGTCAAACACAGGCTAACTTATTTTCTGCCATTATCACAATTTTCAGCTTAGACAGAGAACTTGACAAGACATTAAAACAGCATTTCAAGTATTCCAACGGTGGAATTCTATGAGAGATGTGGCCATTAGCAGTATTTCAGTCACATCATTGCACCGACATGCTACTGATGGAGTGAGCGAATTTAGTTTTACGCCGCTTTTAGCAATATTCCAGCAATATCACGGCAGGGAACACCAGAAATGGGCTTTACACATTGTACCCATGTGGGGAATCAAACCCGTGTCTTCGTCGTGACGAGCGAACGCTTTAACCAATGGGGTACCCCACCACCCTGCTATAGTCCGTTTGGGTTCAAATGACTGACTGACTGAGTTTGGTTTTACGCCGCTTTTAGCAATATTCCAGCAATATCACGGCGGGGGACACCAGAAATGGGCTTCACTCATTGTTCCCATGTGGGGATTCGAACCCAGGTCTTCGGCGGGACGAGCCAACGCTTTAACCACTAGACTACCCCACCGCCCCCGGTTCAAATGAGAATGATGAATGATTAAATATCTCAAAATAGGGATAAGTGCACAAAACATAAATAAGACACATGACATCAGATTTCAGATCCTGTTGGGTACAGAGGTTTCAAGACCATGTGTCATATTTATGTTTTGTGCACTTATCCCAATTCCGAGTTATTTAATCATTTGTCGTTCTCATTTGAACCCAAACGGACTATACCGCTGGCGGAAACCCCCAAGTGATGCAGGTTGCAATCATTCTGTAAAACCTACACCTTGGATTGATGGACCAAGGATCATAATCAGAATGGATCCGGTATTCAACACATAATCAAATGGATTCTGACAGCTAAGCAGATCAGTGCAGCAAGCCTTAACAGACCTCCCTCAACTGGGATTAAGTAATTGTATGTCAGAATGACAGGGAAAATATCCAATCCCAAAGAAATCTCAAGTAAATTGAATAGGTCAGCCATATCACGATGATTGTCTATCCAGCAATGAAAAACACAAAGCATATAGCAGTGCTTCAAGCAACAAAGCATGCTAGATCACAAATATAAGAATTTTGCTGACTTGTCAAGTCTCTTTTAAGCTGAGTTATCTCCCTTAGCCCCCAGAATGATTGAGAGAAACATGTACCTTTTCCTTCTGGTTTGATTTCTCTTCTTTCTCCTTACGACGGAGATCGGAGACATAATCGTTGAATATAGACTCTCGTTCTCTCGCATTTTGTCAATGCCCTTGAATCGATCGTCTTTACCATACCGAGAGGCGAAGTCGCTGAAGGATGACCTGAAACAAACAGACACAAATAACATGGTGGCACGAGAAAGTGTTCCTATCCACTTATTGCTTGTCAATTTGAACCTCAAGGATGTCATGACAATCGGTCAGGCTTCAGGAACTGACCTTCAGACATTTCAATCACTTACAGATTTGCAGACCAAAATGGAAATAATAGCATAATTTGGGGGGAGAGTTGATTTAAATATCTGAAGAGACTGTTGACTAAAATCAGCACAGAAACATGCTGACTTTAAGTCAATAAACAGGGTGTGATTAACCTTTTGGTTTGTCATTCAAAAGATCCTCTTCTCATTTTGGCTTTATTTCAAACAAAAATTTCCGAAAGTTTTCAAGAGTGAGTTGGGTTTTACACTGTTTTTAGCAATATTCCAGCAATATCATGGTAGAAATAGGCTTCACACATTGTACAAATGTGATGAATCGAACCCGGGTCTTCATTGTGACGAGCAAACGCCTTAACGACTAGGCTACCCAACTGCCCTGCTCAATGTGAGACGTCCAAGCCCATGTCATACACGTCTTAAAATATGGTACGTCAAGATATGGCTGAAAATTGCCGACATGACTCTAAGTAGATGTTAACCCACTCACAACCACTGTCTCCCATGGAGTATAACTGATGGAAGTATTTATCATCATGCTTTAAGCAGCCAAGAGGCAGGTTGTGAAATTGTTTCACAAACATATCATTTCACTGTTGGCATCTCTACAGAAACAGTGATCTACTGACTTTCCATGCAGCTTTGCTTCCTCCAACAGCTGCCCGGAAAGAATCCTTCTTCTCCCGGAGTTTCCTGTGCTTCTCTCGCCGCTCCTCCTCAGCCCGCTCCTTCACGTACTGCTCGAACACCTGCTTCCTCTCCTTGGACGTCAGCAGCAGGTAGCGTGGGTCGAACACGATCTTGTGGAGCTCCTTCTCCCATGTTGAGAACGCTGATACCTGGGTGGGGAAGGTTTCAGGTTAGAAAGGTGAGGTGAGGTGAGGTGAAAAATTGGGTTTAACGTCACGCTTGAGAATATTTCGCTCATATGACGACGTGCATGGGTGTGTATGTGTATGTGCGTCTGCTTGTACTAGCCCAGACTTAAGCTGGTTTTATAGTGCTAGCCCACTGAGATACCATGCCGCAGTGAAGCAGGAATATCCCACTCAGACACATTATACTGACTCTGAGCCGACCAGTCCTTGTTGTACCCATTAATGCAGAACGCCAGGCGGGACCAACAAGTACCATATTTTAACGTCTTTGGGTATGACGCGGTTGGGGATTGAACACGCGACCTTCCGCTCTCCGGGCAGACACTCTAACCACTACACCACGGAGGCGGTCGGTTAGAAAGGTCATCTCAACATTCAAGCATATGCCAAGCATGTAATATCAGTGAGTGAGAGAGTTTAGTTTTACGCCACTCAGCGATATTCCAGCTATATGCGGCGGTCTGTAAATAATCGAGTCTGGACCAGACAATCCAGTGATCAACAGCATGAGCATCGATCTGCGCAATTGGGAACTGATGACATGTGTCAACCAAGTCAGTGAGCCTGACCACCCGATCCCGTTTGTCGCCTCTTACGACAAGCATAGTTGCCTTTTGTGGCAAGCATGGGTTGCTGAAGACCTATTCTACCCCGCATCTTCACGGGTCGCATATAATATCAAGTATACTTTCTTGCTATAGATAATAAATGAATATTGTTACATTTTCCCATTGTGTGAGTTTGGTTTAAATCTGTTTAGAGAATGGCAGCTTTTTCACTTGATGAGAGAGAAATAGGGAAGATTTATGATTACAACAGATTCGCTTGTCCCACTCAGCAACATGACAGTGGTCAGGACTAGACGATCCAGTAATTGTCATCATGAGCATTGATCTACGTAAGTTGGACACGATGACAAGCATTAACTAAGTCAGAGAGTCTGAGCACCTTATCCCATTCGTTGCCTTCTACTACAAGCATACAAGGACCAGTTGTAACCCGGATCATCATTAGTTGATTACAACAAAACATGCCTTTCCACAAGACTGACACAGCGACACTAGGACACTACAACAGTGCTCCTACCTCCTTCTCTGCCAGCATGTCGCGGAACTGCTTCATCCGGATCTCCAGGGGGACGATGGCTCTCTGCCTGGCTGCCTGCACCTCCGCCTCGATGGCTGCCTCCTTTCCAGCGTCGATCTTCTTGGGGAAGCCGGTCTCCTTCTTGTCCTCCTCCTTCCCCTCGTCCTTGTCCATCCTACCATGGAGAGGTGCACATGTCATGGCAAATGTATAAGCTATATACAGCAAGTTTGGTTTTACGTAGCTTTTAGCAATATTACAGCAATATCATAGCAGGGGACACCAGATATGGGCTATGTACACAAGGATAAGTTTGACATCTCTTTTACCGTATAGTTTCGAATAATTCAACACATGACATTTTAATCAGGCAAATAATCCATGATCAGTTAAAATGTGATATTGTCTCTATGTTTTATCTGTTAAACATGTAGAAATGAAAGAGAATCTGATCATTATTTAACACAATGCAGAAGGTAAACACATTAAACATTTAGATACTCTGACACATCTGCCACAAGTTGAATGCCTTGATCTGCAAGATGTCTACCATATTTAAAGACATACTTCTTTTTCTTGGATGCTGGTTCCTCCTCATCATCTTTCTCCTCCTTCTTCTTCTCAGCTGAAAGAATATAAATACAGTGAGTTTGGGAATAAAAAAAACAAACCTAAAAAAACTTCCAAAATAAAGACTTGATGTCCATCATATATATTAATCTCATGTTGCTCCGTCACACGTAGGATATTAAGTCATGTGTATGTGTCATGTTTCTGTATCATGTGTATATGTCATGTGTCTGTCATGAGTGTGTCATGTGTCTGAGTGTTTTGTGTCTGAGTGTGACATGTGTCAGTCTGTGTCATGAGTGTGTCATGTGTCTGTATCACAAGTCTGTGTCATGAGTCTGCATCATGTGTCGTGTCTGTCATGAGTCTGTGTCAAGTGTCTGTCATGTATCATGTGTCTGTGCCATGTGTCTGTATCCCGAGTATCACGAGTCTGTCATGTGTCACTAGTAGGGCTCTGACGTGTACTCGAGTACCCGGCAACGGGTCTGGTACGGCAGGACTCGAGTACCCAACAAAGATAGATAACTCTAAACTAAACGTGATCACGTGTCATGGATGATAAAAGGTCGAACGTATAGGCCCATTTTGATCTTGACACTTCAAAACACAAAACCAAGTGTCGCCTTTGCGGCATTATGCTGAGTTATGCAGGGAGCTCAACAAGCTCAATGAGAAAACATCTTAACATGAAACACCGTCTGTCAGTGTGGACGATTCTTCCCAAAATCCAGTCAAAAAGCAAGCAACCTTGATGCAGGGATATTTGGGGGGTTACAACAAAAATAAGCTTGACTCAAAAACATATATGACACTCACAGGCAAGGCCTGATGATGTGCGTTAGAGACCTCAGACCTTGGAACCTTGTTAAAGGTAATGGTTTTCGTGATTTTTGTCACTCACTGAATCCCAGTTATATCGTACCATGTCCAAAGACCATCCATAGTACCTTATGAAGGAATATGCCGACTCCAAAACTCAGCTTAAGGATATTCTAAAGCAGTCCCCTGGCGTTTCTTTGACAACAGATATATGGAGCCAGCTGTGCCACCCTCGGTTACATCACCGTCACAGGGCATTACATCACAGACAATGGGATCTAAAATCTAAAATCTTGCCACTAGATGCGTGGAGGATCGTCCATGATGCACTTTGTTACAATGCTCAATCTTTTCAAAGAACTTCACATTTGATATTTGTTAAACGAAATGTGCTTTAATAAATGTCCTGATTTTGACAATGGCTTGTTTTTTTCTGAGTTTTGATCTCTGCATTATGGGTTGAACCTCATTGTTACCCCAGTCTCAAAGCTTTTCAAACTCTCGATTTTGTGTATTCATAACCACGTTTTGCGACATGTGACGCTATACTTCACACGAACTGGTTTCTGCTATGAGCTGTTTGCGCCAGTGCTCAGTTAAGTAATGTGGCCCTGCTTAGACCGATGCTAGTCAAATAAATCAATGATATTAGGTTCGTATTTCGTCAAATTGACAACCACGCGTATAAGGAAAGAATTCGTGAAAGTTTTCAATTCAATACAGACGTTATAACTTATAAGTGCGGCAATCTTGTGTGAAATTCCATTGAAAACTACCTAAAACAGACGCATGTTGCTCTCACTAAATTGTATACTATATTTTTCGGCTACTGAAGTCCGGGTTGGGTTTTATCCCCCGGGTACTCGAGTCTGCTTTTTGCTACCTGTCAGAGCCCTAGTCACGAGTCTGTGTAATGTGTCTGAGCCATATGTCTGTGTCATGGGTCATGAGTCTGTGTCATGTCATGAGTCTGTATCATGTGTCTATGTATCATGTGTCTATGGCATGTGTCTATCATGAGTGTGTCATGTATCTGAGTGTTTTGTGTCTGTGTCATGAGTATGTCATGTGTCTGTGCCATATGTCTGTGTCATGTCTGTCAGTCTGCATCACGAGTCTCTATCATGTGTTGTGTCTGTCATAGTCACGAGCCCTAGTCACGAGTCTGTCATGTGTCACGAGTCTGTGTCATGTGTCTGAGCCATGTCTGTGTCATGTTTCTGTATCATGTGTCTATGGCATGTGTCTATCATGAGTGTGTCATGTATCTGAGTGTTTTGTGTCTGTGTCATGAGTATGTCATGTGTCTGTGCCATATGTCTGTGTCATGTCTGCATCACGAGTCTATCATGTGTTGTGTCTGTCATAAGTGTGTCATGTGTCCGAGTCGTGGGTTATGTGTCTGCCATGCATCATGAGTCTGTGTAATGTGTCTGAGCCATATGTCTGAGCCATATGTCTGTGTCATGAGTCTGTATCATGTGTCGTGTCTTTGTCATGTGTCTGAGTCTCTGTCATGTGTCTGTCATGTCTGTGTCGGGTTTGTGTCATGTGTCTGAGCCATATGTCTGTCATGAGTCTGTGTCATGTGTCTGTATCTCGAGTCTGTATCATGTGTTGTGTCTGTGTCATGAGGTGGTGGTCTGATTAATTGAAATAATCGAGAATTGGTCGCTGTGACTAATTGACCAAGCAATCAATCATGTTTTCTCATAATCGAACACAAACAATTATGAACACTTGTTTGCATTAACAATATTTTTCACAAGGTTGGTTTTGTCAGTTACATTTCATAAGCACTACAAGCTCGTTCCAAGTCATGATTGAATTTATCTTAAAGACTCCAGGAAATATATGTTACTAACATACTAGTCATCCTTTAAAGATGTGAAATTTGCAAATGCACATTTTGTTCAGTTTGAACAAAACCCTGAAAGAGTTGAATGTTTTTTCTTTATTTTTTGTGCATGAAGAAACATAACCAGGAAAATTTGATAAATGACGCTAACCAATTATTTTCGATGATTGATCGGTTGTAATGAACCAATCATCAATTATGAGATTTTAACCAATTCCCAATACTAGTGTCATGTGTCATGAGTCTGTGTCATGGGTCTGTGTCATGGGTCTGAGCCATATGTCTGTATCATATGTCATGAGTTTGTGTCATGTGTCTGTATCAGGAGTGTATCATGTGTTGTGTCTGTGTCATGTCTGAGTCATGAGCTTGTCATGTGTCTGTCATGTAGCATGTGTCTGTCATGAATCTGTGTCCTAAGTATGTGTTATGTGTCTGTTTCTGTGTCATAAGTCTGTCATGTGTCCGAGTTGTGATTGTGACAGTATTTAATATTACCATACGGGACACTGGCATGATCCGAGACTTGTTCTGTGTTTCCCAAACAAAATCTAATCAAAATCATATAACCAACTGCGAACATTCGGTCTCACTAATTCTCAATTGAGTTCTGACTTCAAGAAAAATGGTGTAACATTAAACACAAATCTGGGTTTACCTTGTTTAGTGTCAGGAGGGCCGGCAATCATCTTGTCTACATCAGGTCTGTTGAGGAGTTCTTCGGGTTTCTCCCACAGTGACTGGCGCTGACTGGGGTTGTAGAAGAAACACCGCCCATCCCCTGTCCACACAACACACCTGCAACAAGATCAGGCTCAATATACAGAGGCACTGCACATAGGTATGGTAAACAATGGAACTGTACATACAATTGGCACACAAATAAACTACCAGGCAAAAGAAAGTTATCACTTTTAAAGTAATAGTATAAAAAACAAAAACGTTGGTACAGGTTTGAACCCTAGCAGAAAACATTTGCCAAAACGCAACATGGATCTGATAACAACACACCTGTCCGAAAACTTTGTCCATTTTTCAATTCCAGAGTGTCCAGAAGGGAGGTTGGGAGGGCTGACCTCATGAATCAGGATAAGTATAAAATATCCATTTTAGCCAGAAAATTACATATTTTTCCTTATCCTGACTCATGCTCTTTTGCTTGTAGAATCCGACAGGAACCGGTGGTGGGTCAGGCCACTTCTGGATTCATCGGTTGTAGATTTATGTCCTGCATACCCCCCGTGGGAACTTATGATGGCACTTGTGCCGATCCTTTTTTGTTCCAGCTTCCTCTGATGAGTCTGGGGGGACCACAACTTGTCAGATTTCTCTGGAACTCTTCTCCTGACATTAATTGTGGATTTATGCAACTCTATGTCTTGATGCTCGCATCAAGTGGAGAAGCGACCCTTCTTCATGTAAGAGTAAGTCCTTTACAAGTACAGGGTTTATCACTCATGCTGGTCTGTCCTAGACGTGCGCATGGACTCTAAAGCTCTAGCTCTCCAGAGCGTTGGCTTTTACAAGTCCCGTGATAAAAGGGCGAGATCCATCTCAGCATCTTTGTGGAACTGTCAATTGTTGTGCTACAACAAAAGGCCCAAACTGGTGAATGCCGGAGACGTCCTCGGTAGCAATGTCTCTGAGGTAGTGGTTGGCAAACACTGTCTCTGACTTCCAAAAGCAGCCCTCCATTATCGTCGAGATGGAGCAGTTTCCATGCAGAGCGAGTGTCGATGCCAGAGCTCTGACTTCATGAGGGTTGGAGGCTCGTGGAGGCTCAAGTCCTGCTGCTTTGTAGGCCCTTAAGACGACGGATCTCATCCAAATGGAGATTGTTGTACGTGAGACTTCTGTGGTTGTCTCTGTGGATAGAGGGATGAAAAGGTGATTGAATTTTCGTCTCCTCGTGTTAGTTCTTTGTAGGTAGACTTTTAATGCTCTGACTGGGCATAAGGATAGATCCTGGATATCCTGTGGCCCAAGGACTGCCGAGAGAGTGCTGGTATGTGGAACTGTCTGTCTGGTTGACCGGGCAGCTGGTTCTTTGCTATGAAATCCCATTTCAGTCCTAGATGTACGATGTTACCATGTGCATCAAATCGTATTCGTTCAAAGTCCAGAGCATGTATCTCCGACATCCGTGCTGCTGTTGCCAAAGCGATCAGGAACAGAGTTTTGTGCATTAAAAACTCGTAGGATGTCCTTTCTAGTGGTTTGTAAGCGTCACTGGTGAGATGCTGCAAGACTACGTTGAGATCCCAAGCAGGCGCCTTAAACTTCTTTTGTTGGTCTTCCCACTTGAAGGAGCGTAGTAGTGCCAACTTCGTAGTGGTAACAGAGAGAGTAGTGCTTGAGATACCATGGCTTGTATGGAGACCCAACGATCCTCTGAGACGACCATGCTATTCTGTGGTGAGGTGAACATCTTCCCAGAAATCTGCTCATATCCTACGTTGTAGGTAAGTAGACAGTGGAACCCTTGCCATGTCCGTAATGGAAGCGGAGCAATGTCCGGTTCTGGAATCATGCCTTGAAGTTTATTTCTTCAATCTTCCGATAATATGTCAAGAAGACTTGTCCCCAGAATCCCAACAAAGTGCAGTGTTGATGCGTCGTCTCTAGATGTACTGGAACTGCCATCGCTATGAAGTCTATTTATAGTAGACTGGCTGCTCTGAGCAGAAATCGTCAAATGTATGTTGCTGCAAATCGCCGGATAAACAATCTTCAATCTGCTGACAGGGAAGGTCCTTATGACCCGTGAAGACAGTCGAATCATGCTGTACCCTGCTAAATGGACTGTAAATGGAGCCTTCCTCCCACGTTGAAAAGTTTTTTACAACTGTAGACGACTTCCTGGCACGTGAGCTATGCCCGACTTCTGCGCAGGGCTTTGTCTTTCATGGACCAATCAAACTGCAGCATTTGATTCATCTCAGATCCCTGCGATGTGACATCACCGGTGTTGCAGGAAAAACATCCTTGTAAAATCTTGTGCAGTCGTTGATTTCTTCATCAACACTCGGCCTTGTCCGTAACCTCCCGGAGTTACCCGAGTGAACACGTGTACAGCAGGCTGAGTGGAAAACACGCGAAGGATTTCGCCACGTAATACCGATGTAGGTAGACTGTCTCCCTGGCTGTTGTGATTGTTTCCTTCTTCACTGAAGATAATGCAGTCGTCATCTTATACAGATGATCAGCTGAAGTTCCATACTTGCTTAACGCTGTTACTTGTAGACTGTAGTCATCGGTCTCAATGAAGCGCCGTAAAATAACCAATTGTGTTGAATACACAAAGGTTCTTGTAGAGTTGATTCTTAACTACGATGACCGTCACGCTGAGGACTGCGACAATGCCAATGCTAGGCCAGTGATAACTGTAAAGCTGTCCCCTTCCTCACAAAAGTCAAGCCCGCTGATGTTGGATCTGTCTGGCCCGAAACAAGTATGTCTAGTGGTTGTGTAAGTTCTGCAATGGGAGTCGTTGATGATCTTGCAGTTCTCATCAATCTCTTGAGCCTTCATGAAGGGTTCCATGTGAGTAGTGGGAATTTCCTGGCGTTGAACATCGGGAAATGTTGACTCTGGAACTTCGTAGCCTTACCAAGGCTACGCTGAGATTCTCCGGTACTTGAGCTATCAGGTCGATAGGTGAAAGGTGAACGTATCAAATCATCGTTAGATATCTTGTAAGTGAGTGCTTCTGATCCACGACGACGTGAGTCCCTGCCTGCCTGAAGACATGTGAAGACATGTGCGCAGGTGAACGGTTGGAATATGAATTTTCCCTTGAATCTTGAGACATATCCCTCTGCCTTCGTGAAGATGTGGATTCTATTCTCCGTGATGAGGAGTGCCTGCAGGCTTGCGACGAAGATCCGCATCTGAGGGTGAAGATGATCCTTGTGACCAACTTCCGCGATACTGCGAAGAACGTCTAGTCCTGCTCCTGCGCGAAGGCTCCTTGGAAGGTCCTTCCTTCACGCAGACTTCTTCCTTCACGCAGGCTTCCATCTTCGTTGGGATGCGATGTGAAGACTGCTGGTCCTTCGTGCAGGCTCGTCATCGTAGATGAGGTCTTCGTAGCAGACGAGGTCTTCGTAGCAGCCTTCACGCAGGCTTCCATCTTCGTTGGGATGCGATGTGAAGAGTGCTGTCCCTTCGTGCAGGCTCGTCATCGTAGATGAGGTCGTAGCAGCCTTCAAGAAGACTTCCTCCTTCACGCAGGCCTCCATCTTCGTGACTGATTGTCCTTCGTGCAGGCTCGTCGTAGATGGGGCCTTCGCCGCAGCCTTCTCCTGTGTGAACTGTCGTTCCATCAGCTCCAACATCTGCTGAGTAAACTGCTGCATGAAGATATCCGGGTTGAAGTTCTGCGACGACGGCTGCTGCTGCTGCAGATGACGACGCATCTGAGAGTGATGAGGCTTCTTCCAAGGACCGCTGCACTTGTGAAGAGCTGCCGTCTCTGGTACCTGATGTCTGCGTTGATAGATCATCTGACTGCGCTGAGATGACTGCTGACGTCACTGTAGAAGAGGATCTCGTCGTCTTCTTCTTAACTGCTACTTCAGGAATGAGGATGGAGGCTCATCATACACGTCTACTTCATCTGGAGGGATGATCTCTGCAGAGAAGGACCCCGACTTCTGCGCTGCCCCATGGGAAGACTTTGTCGAAGTCTCATCTGCAGACGACTTCTTTTCTTAATTAAATTCAATTTCAGATAAATGCTGACAAAGTTGGCAGCGAAAGCTGTAAGAACATGTAGAAGTGCAATTAGAACATAATAGATGAGGATCAGCAGCAGACAACCGGTACCTGCAACGAATGCAAGTTTTTCATCAATTGTAAACAAGATGAAATATCACGTCAACAACGTGAAGAAACAAATAAATCAGACAACAAAAAATCCCAACCATAATGCCGTATACAGCTAAAATTAGTTGTAAAGGCCTAAAATTAAAAATATATAGTGCCATATAGGGGATCCAGGCGCTCTGACAACGGGTCGAAGAAGGGCGAAGAAGGAGAGAATGACAAGCATGGCTGGTCAGGTGACCAATAAGGGCGCCAAAGGGCAAAGGGAGGCTACTCGTAGGGTGAGTGATCTTACGTCCGCTTTTTTTAAGGGAGCTTCAAAAGGGGATTCAAGTGTTCCACTATCATTCGCAAGTAGGAGACAAGCAAAAGAGCATGAGCCAGGATAAGGAAAAATTGTTTACAATGATGCTCATGACAATCACAAATTGTTGTGACCAGATTGAAGTGCTGGTGTGTGCACCGCAAACAACCAAACACACAAACAAGTTATTTTGATGACCTTACCATGGCGTGCCAGGGACAGGTGTACTGGAAACTGGTCGAGCTTTCTCTGCTGCCTTTTGTTCTTCTGTCTTCTCATCTTCCACAGGCTTCTCCTGAAGGTAAGAATAATACATGTTAATAGATGTTAACATACTACACATAAAGATATGCAAGTAACCAAGCACAGGTCTGAGTCCTCAGTAAATAGTTTCGTTGATAATTACAGATTAGTTAATACCCAAAGCATACCTCCTCCTTTTCTTCTTCTTTTACTTCAGTTTCCATAGCAACCTCCTCTCCATTTGTGGCTCCATTTACATGAACAGGTGGTTCCGTCTTCACAGGTGCTTGCAACTGATTGACTGATGCTGAAACATGAAGACCCAAAATAATTTCATGACCAAAATCATAGAGTGTTGGATACACGAGGAACTTCACAGCTCAACATTCTCTTGCTATATAGCTTCCTTTCACATTTTACAACCTGAAGAAATGCTGTCTTAATAATAATAATAATAATAGAGCATTTGTATAGCGCCTTTCCAGGCTAAATATCCTGCTCAAGGCGCACAAAATTTCAATAGAGTCAAGAGAAAGCTTCACGGAAGAGATGAGTTTTTTTGGAGACTTCTGAATTTGGGATAAATAGAGCAGGAACGGATGTGGTGAGGCAGACCATTCCTCTCTTGAGCAGCAGCGTAAGAGAAGGAACGTTGTCCAAATCGAGTGAGCTTGACTTTGGGCACAGTCAAGAGGTTCTGGTTTTCTGATCAAAGTGATCTAGATGGACAATAAGGTTGTATCAGTTCTGAGATGTAGACAGGAGCCGAGTCGGTCAAACATTGATGAGTCAGGCAAAGGATCTTGAGGTTGATCCTGTGCTTGATAGGAAGCCAATGGAGTTCTTGTAACACTGGAGATGTGTGGTCAAATCTGTGACTGAGAGATGTGATGCGAGCAGCAGTATTCTGTACACGCTGTAATCGATCTGTGAGGCATGAAGGCGAAACCGCCAAAAGACTATTGCAATGGTGCATCAGTCTTATCTCATGAAACCCATGTCGGCATTTTCTGCCTACCTTCCTTCTTTGAAATTTTTGGCGGTTCTCCCATCTTCCCATTCAGCCTGCAGTTTCTTTCCAAATTCCCACTCACCAAGAATCTGGTTCTCTCCCTCACCCCCACCCCTTCCCATTCAGCCCGATGTCCGCAGTGTCTCCTTACCTTCCCATTCAGCCAGTGTTGGAGGTTTCTCCCATGTTGACTCCATAGTCCGAGAGTTGTAGTAGTAGCTCCTCCCATCAGCATTCTTGTGTTCCGACCACTCTGCCACCTCTGGGGGTTTTGGGGGAAGCTATGGGTAAATTACCAGAATATGACAACATGTACGCCTATAAACACAGTAACGTCTTTCATACTCAGTTCTTGGCAAGCAGAGTGCCATAATTATACATCTAATGCATACATGATTTACTACATAGAAATGTGAGAATCGGATTTAATAGACAGCACTAAGAAGCACAAGAATTTAAGCATGACATTATAATTGCTCATTCAGATCACTGAAGTTAAGTCTTTACATTTGTGACTATTGGGGATTTTTATACAAATGTTGACCCTCAGTGGGAATTGTCCTGTAATGAGTTCCTGACTCACCTGGGTCTGTGGAGGTTTCTGTACAGAGACAGCCGATTCCTGGGGCTGACTCTCTATGGGGACCTGCCCCATCATGGGGGGTTGTTGCTGCTGCTGCTGGGGTACAGGCTGCTGGTTGAAGGATGGGGGCATCATCCCTGGGTAGCCTGATGACAAGTAAGATTGTTAGACGTCACAAATGTGACCATAAGTTTATTTACCAACCTTCATATACCCTTGGATAATTACATATTGATATTATGAAACACAACACAATCTCATTACACAGACTAAAAAGCACTGATATCCAAGAGTGACATGCCTGAATATATTATAATGCTACAAAGGTACCTTGTGTTGGTGACTGATCTGCTTGGTTTGTGGCTTGAGCTGAAATTCAAAGGAAAAAAAATCAAAACTCAAAATTGGCAAGAACATAGCATCAGCAAGCAAAGGTCTAGAAGATACTCATTATCATTTTCATATTCAAAGTTCAATGAGGATCATCCTTGCTAAACAAAACGCGGCATGTTGTGGAATGTGGAGTAGTTACCCTGAGCCACGGCAGCCTGGGCTGCTGTTGTGGGCCCTGATGATGTAGTGGCTCCACCCTGTGCTGCAGCCATAGCCTCCACCTCCGACTGAGTTATAATCTTCACATTCTCTGGCTTAGTCCAAGCTGATTCCCTTGTTCGTGCGTTGTAGTAGTACATCTGCAACGGATAAGGCTCAGAATGATTACAAACATCAAAATCCTGAATTGCTATGAAAGGAATGAGGCATGAGAAAATCAAACTGGTTCACTTTCATTTAAAAAATGGTAAAACAATTTGTCTGAAGTGTTTGTGCCCCTTTTCAGTGCTCATATTTAGACTTGCACAAATAAAAACCTGTGTCAATTATACTTCTACTATTATTTTTTTCCATAAATTTTCCAAGTCTAATGCCAAAGTTTGGTCAAGGAGTGAGTGAGTGTGTAGTTTCTTTTGCATTTGACAGCAATGATAAAAAAATACGGACTTTAAGATTGGGCTTCACACACATTGCCAATAAGAGCAATCAAACCATTGACCTTCAATGTTGCAAGCCACTAAAACCACTAAGTTATGCCACAATGCCTCCTGGATGAGAGACTTATGTTGATTATCCCCCACACACCTTGCCCTCGGCCGTCTTGGTTTCCACCCACAACTCGGCATCATTCTGTGCTGACTGCTGGGGAGGTCCGTAACCAGGAGGTGGCACGGAGAAGTTCGGGGGTGGCATCCCCGGAGGTGGCACGTTTGGTGGGGGCATCATAGGTGGTCTCTTGCAAAAGTAAAAAGAAGAATAAACATTTCATTCTAATACTTAATTCAGCTTAAAACAATCCAAATCCATCTATACTTTCAAACTTAATAATGTGACATTAATTCTATATCGAATTGTCTCAACCAAATAAAATCACATATTCTTCTGAAACTAGCTTGTTCTCAAATTGCATACCTATCAACATGATGAAATGAAAACTACATGATAGTTAGTGCTGGTATTGGCATACAACCTGCGATACAATACATCGCGATACTAAAATTTTAGTCACGATGATATATTGCCCAAGTATTGTGCACTGCATCTGGAGATAGAATACGAATCCTGCTGATATAAGGGTGGCGCTAAGATACACATCACGATACTAAAATCTTTAATTCTAACACCAACTATAAAATACCTTAAGATCAAAACAGAACAATTTTAAAGTATTTCGTCAAATTCTGCCAGCGTTTGGACACAGTTCTTGACGCAAGAATTTCCAAGAAAACGTTTACTTATGAAGGGAAAATAAGTAAGTATATATTTTCAATCATCAAACAAAAGTCTTTTTTCGTGACATATATCGCAATTCGGCAATATTCCAAGTTCAACATTGATGTATCGGGGCCCATTTGTCGTATCGTATCGGGATATACGACAATGTAAAACTTTGTATCGATTCCTTGTATCAGCAACCCATGGATCGATGCGTATCGATGAATTGTCACAACACTAATGATAGTATGATGCAACCCATAACACTACATGGGTATTAGTCCCTGATGATTATCTGACTTATCAACATCAACTTACCATGCCTGGTGGAGGCATCCCTGGTGGTGGTGGCATACCCTGATGTGGCCCTGGGGGTCCCATGCCTGGGGGCGGTCCCATCCCTGGTGGGGGAGGACCCATTCCTGGAGGAGGAGGTCCCATTCCTGGACCACCTGGGCCGAAGTTGGGATCAAATGGTGGTCGGCCAAAGGGAGGTGGTCCTCTGGGTGGAGGTCCACGCATTCCAGGTGGGGGTGGACCTCTCATGCCAGGTGGTGGGCCACGCATGCCTGGGGGTGGGGGCCCTCGGAAACGTGGGCCTGGAGGTCCAGGTGGTCTACCAAATGGGCCACCCCTGGAGAAACAATCAAGTTGATTATAGGTAGCCTGTCAATGCTACTTTGTCTTTGTTTGACACCACATTCAGCCATTTTCCAGCTATCATGGCTATACAGTGACAATCTGTAAATAACTAAGTCTGGACCATACAACCCAGAGATTGATATCATGAGCGTCAATCTTTGCAATTATGATATGATGACATGCATCATGATCAACTACTCAATGGGTTTGAACATCGGATCCTTTTAGTCACCTGTTACGACAAGCATGGGTTGCTCAAGACCAATTCTAAACCGCATCTTCTCAGGTCTTATTATCCTTCAGTGTCTGTGATATGAAAACCAATATTGAAACACAATTTTAATAGGTCTGAATGCAGATTTGTAGAGAAAAGCAAGCTGTGCACAAGATGAGGTGTTGCTTACACCCCACTACCAATGGCTCACCAAAATAAGTTGCCAACCAAGCTGTGGGGATTCTGGGTTAGAATAGGCCCCCAGCAAGATATAGTGTTAGGCTTGGCAACACAAGTGATTGGGTGTCATCACATATAGTCATGACAGTAGGTGTGGATCTCTGTTCACAAAATCGTGCACCATGATCACTGGATCGAATTGTTCAGATTAAGGATGAAACCAGTTTGTAAACATGACCAGGGTACACTACCCAGATATTAGACAATCCATCGATTGACAGCATGAGGATCTGTCTACGAAATTGGAATGCGATGACATGCTAAAAAAGCAGTGAGTGTCACGGCCTGATCCTGCAAAGTGCTTCTTGCAACAAGAGCATGTTGTTAGATACAATTTTTGTTGACAGGTGGTGTAGTATTCACGTGCACAACATGTCACATGTGAACTAAAATTCAGAGACTACAGTGGAAATGGTTCGTCTGCAATGTGGTATTTCCACGTTTTCTGTTACTGCACGCAAATGTAGGTCATAAAAAAATTATCCATGTTACACGTTTACAACCCCTCCATGTGTCAGGGATTTTGGGTTTAGTTTAACGTTAGACTAAACGAATTAATGCACTACTTTTAACTTGCATATATAAGAAATTCAAAATACCAATCGGGTCGGAATCGTGGTCCACGGGGACCCATGAAGCCACCTCTCCCTCGAGGCGGCCCAGGAAATCTGTTTTTAGGGTGGAAGTCAGGAGGGTAATCGGGTGGATAGTCGGAAGGATAATCTTGTGAATATCCTGATTCATTATATTCCCCAGATCCCTCCATTTGCTCCATTGGAGCTTCTGTTGAAGCCTCTGGGGCTGGTTGCGCTGGCTGCCCATTGTCGTCCGCCATTGTGATATGATGGGGGCACGCTGAAGTCGGTTACATGTAAAACTTATCAAGATTTCGCACCGGAAACATATTGTTTATCCCAGAAAGTACATTCAATTTTTAAACGTTAGTATTAAAATGAAAGGCGGATACAATGCATTAGCTTGATGCGAATAAATGTATGTTTATACAATATTTCGATATGCAATTAATAGCACGTTGTGGTGAAAGGGATTACAATTAAATTGAAACACATTTCTTGTCCATAGCTACTGTTCAGACTGATGGTTTCAGAGGCTCGGAGCAAGATATTACTTTAAAGACCATAATACTGTTTAAAGGAATATTTTGATCTGAAATACCAAGTACGTAATACTGTTATATAAAATAGCAAAACAATTGTGTTCAAAAGTGTAGCGTGTCATATGACTCGGTACACTTGTTCTATTTATGGAAATGTATGCATACACCTTGAATACGTTCACTGGGTTGATATGGAGAATTCACGGAGAATTCACAATATTCTTGTGTGCGTGTAATATCTTCCTGAGTGTAATTTCTCCTTTAATGTAAAATTTGAATCAACTTATTAAAGAAAAGGTAAAATGTTTTCAATACATTTCGTTTACTAATCCGAATTTTGTAAACTCGACTTTGGGCACCTGCAAATAAGCCGTCTTTTGATTTGACTCTTTCAAAACAAAATGCAGTCAGAAGTATATATAGTCGGTACAACTGTAAATTGCATGCAAATACTTCCAAATGCAAAAAAGCTTTTGATAAAAAAGTGCGAAACTTTAACAGGAAGCTAGCACGTGACATCCGGTTTGTCACGAGATGGCTTTTTTATCCGGACCGAATAACCAGACGGTGTTGGCCTTTTTATGAAAACCATACTTCATACGGACACAAACACTGTCAAGAATTTATTTTATTTCCATGCAATAAATGTGCTCTGGTGAAAGCACAGCAGTATCTGATGTTATGTGATGACAAACTGGACTCGCTCAAACACCAATTACTTAAATGTTTCAATAAAGTTCTCGTCCGTTATAGTTACATGTAAGTTAAGGATCGTGGAACGAAATGGATATTTCATTAAATGAACAGGAACGATATGTTATGGATAGGCAACTTCGGTTGCTTGATAACGGTGTTAGTATCTACAACGAAACGTCGCATCCATTGCAATGAAGATGTTGTCTATCCATAGAGTATTGTTCCTGTTCATCATACCAACTTCCAAATGTCACTCAGAGAAGTCATTTAATCAAATCCCAAATATTTCATTGGCAGCAGATTTTCCTGTTAATTTCAGTTGCACAGGTCTATATGTAGCATGATTAAAATAAATGGATAGATACACGTCGATGAGATTGAAATCCGTCAAAAGAGTGTATCTCTGAAGTCGGAAATAATAATAATAATAATCTGTTTTGTTAGATGGGTTTGGCTCTGTAAACGAGGAATATATACACACAGTTTGGCAGAACAGGAAGTGTTGTAATATCACTTGGCTTTCTGTACAGTGTAAATCAGCGCAGAATATAGCACTATTTTGTCACATGCTTGTCGGAACTGAAGATAGACTTGAAATGAACTCGACCGGATTGACCGTTGCTCATTTAAATGCCACTGGTTTGAGAGTGGAACATTTATATACCACAACAACAGATGAAGATACCCAGGCTGAGATTATATTCCCATACATAACAACGTATGGTATGGATTAACAACTTGTAATTATTTACAACCCGACGTCTCTTGGCTACTTCTTGACCATTCATCAGATGAATGATTTACAAGCAAAATATATAGTAAGCACATTAGGCCAGTGAGATGGAATTAAAAATTGAGATGTACAGAGTTCAAAGTGATTAAGTGGTATGTTTATGCAATTTCATAAGTGGCTTCTAATCAATGTATATCCTTTTCACTGTGTAAACGCTCTGTACATACCAATCTATATCATCGCAGTACCAATCTATTGCATAAACATCTCAATCAAAACATGTCACTTAATCTCCTCGATCTCTGTACATTTCAATCTTTAATTCCATCTCTCTGGCCTCCTGAACGTAATATATATTTTGCTTGCAAATCACATTCTGTCATTCCTGACGAAGGGGCAAGAAGTAGCCAAGAAACGCCGTTTTGTAAATAATACAGAGATTGTACCATACGTTGTTATGTTACCTTCCTTATTCTAAATGCCCATCAAGCATCTATTATGTCACATCGGTATTGTTGTACGAATACATAAAAAAAACTTTGGTCAAACGTACCCTGTAAAGCTTTGCTCGTTTGTTGTTTAACATCAATATTCCAGCTATATGGCGGCGGTCTGGGCCACACAATCCAGTGATCAACATCATGAGCATCAATCTACACAACTTGGATACGATGACAGGACTGTGTTGACCAAGTGAGCGAGCCTGACCACCTGATCCCGTTAGTCGCCCCTTACGACAAGCATTGGTTACTGAAGATCAATTCTAACCCGGATCTTCATGGGTCACCCTGTAAAGAGTCGTCCGTAACAAACAAAGGAATAGGTAATGTTTGCAGGACTTTTGTACACAAGATTTGTTCACCACCAAAACCAGCAAATTTCTTTATATCTCGACTTGAACCAGCTAATTTGAACTACAAATCTTAAACTTACCCGAGGCCTTGGATGCTTACACAAGACACCATGGAGCATCTTATGACATATTTCACCAAGTGTATGTTTAACTAATATGCACAAACGAGTGACAGCCATGCAGTTCCTAAGCTGCTTGTAGTATGGGATATCTGGGTCGGGTTATACTAATAATGCTGTATTGTTCGGCCAACAACAAAATCCTGTTAAATATATATGTCTCCATTCACGGTTATAGTGTAGATATACATTTATGACGTAGGCCTCTTCCAGTGCCTATGAAGAGTGCTTTGTAAAGGCTCTGCTCCGTATATTGTATGGTGAAGTGACATGTTTTAGATACTCATTCTGATTCCTCGATGCGTGTGGAAAAAACCCCCAAAACATACAGGTTACAAAAATGGGAAACCCATTAAACTCGACTGCATATGTAAAGCAACACAAATTGCTTTATGAAAGTTTTCGTTATTATTTACTACCCGTTCCACATTTTCTATATAACTCTCGAACCTGCCCGGTTCGGAATTGTCCGGATCTTAAGAAATCCTAATGGTCACGGAATGAATTGTAAGATGTGTATGCGTATTATTATTGTTGATTACTGACACGGCAGTAGTCGTGTGTTTGTGAAATCCCCCCACCTACGTGTTTGTTAATATGAGTCTAAGTGTACACGCTGACACATCATCAGAGGAGGAGATATCCGCGCTTCATCCCGAAGTTACTTTCGCTCCGAGAGAAAATAACTATCACGAGTACAACAGTCATGGTCCTAGGTCTCCGACTAGGGGGACGGGCACCAAGGAAAGCTCCCCCTTACTTGGACCTAAATCAGAGCACCATGACATAGGAATATGGAATAATTTCCCTGATGATCCTAATTTTCAAGAGACAATACGGATAGCAGAAGACTCGATCGAGCATGGGATGCTACCACAGAGAATATACCAGGGATCAAGTGGCAGCTATTTTGTGAAGAATAAGGAAGGGGTTTGTATTTTGTTCTTATCTGTTTTGGATTTTTTGGTTTTGTAAGTCAGCAATGTCACTATGGCGTGTGCTGATTTCATGTATAGTGCTGTTTTGAGGGGAAGTGTTCCAGATTGAACTTTAACCAGGTGATTCATCTTTGGCTGATCTTGACCAGCTTCTTAACAAACAAGTTTACATTGTTTTGAGTACCAGTCTTTTCTTGATTTATGATTGATTTTGTTCATGTATACTAAGTAAATCATGTCAGAATGACTTCTGTATATCCTTTTTTATGCTGTTTGTAAAATTATCTGTTTCTCATGCAGATATATTCATAGCACTTATAGTCAGGGTGATCATGTTATGTGTAATTTATGTCACATGTTAATAGAACTGACAACAACTGTTTGAAGTTATTAACTGACAAATTCTAAATTTTAATTGTAGTACAATTAATCAATACAAGCAATTTAAAACCACAAGTCAATGTTTCAATTTTACTTGTTTAAGAAGTGTGTCGTAACCATGGTTACTATCAACACTTTTAACTGAGCCATTAAATGGCCTTTCGTGGGATAATTCAATCTCAATAGGTTTGTGATTGTAAATCACTATTACATAACATTGCCATAGTTTAATTACTTTAAAATGCTTATACTGTACTATTGCAGTATACAGCGTGGGTACAGGTTGTACAGCTATAATAATAAGATAGTTTGATGAGTGAAAAAAATTAGGAAACTGAGTTAATAGAGTTCAGGGAGATTCCTCAGTGTATTGCCTGATATAAATTTAAGAAAGTTTATCATGTTTATTACTGGATGTCCACAAAAACAGGATGTATTTTAGGTTTTGCTGTTGGGTTATACACATTTGCAATGGATCAATGATTTGATCAATCATTGCGACCCCATTTATGTTTTCTTATGCACATTTAACATTGAGCATGATGAGTGACAATTCCTGACAAGGCTCACTGAGAACATATAAAGGCAGAGATTCAGAGTTAGAATTTGGCCTTGAGAAGCACATGCATGTAAGAAGTGCCATACTTGGTCTGGTAGTTAGGCTTGGTAACTTGCTAGACTCCATGTAATCATACTCTTATGGCCTGGATTGTTGATCATCATATCAATCACTGGTTCATCTAATCTTGGCTTGACTAGTTCAAGGTTGCAGTGATGTGGCTGTGATATTGTTGGGTGCAGCCCTCAAGGATGTCCAACAGGAGATAACCTTATCTGTGAGAGGTATCACCATATGTTTTGTATTGTTTGAAGTGTACCACAATACACTGACTGCATAGATATGTTTAAGCATATCTGCATAGATATGTTTGAGCATATCTGCATAGATATGTTTAAGCATAGTAAACAGAAGTAGGTAAGCATATACCACTCCGTTCAGTCACAAGTCTGTACTCATGATAACAAGGCAGAACATTTCCATTATTCCAGTCCATCACTTGCGTTACTTCTTGATACCTGAACTGTTCACTTAGACCAGTTTCTGATTTTTTTTCTTCAAATTTACATTTTGACACCAAGCCATGAAATATTAATCTTACTTAGGACATTAACAGTGCTTGACATTTGGATAAGGCTGATATGATGAACTCATATGACAATGCCAACATATTGATCGTTTATATAAAAGGAGTTGGTAGACCAGCTGATGTGCTCATAATTACAAAAATTTGTTAAATGATATGTATTGACCAGTTGATTCAGAGCACGGCATAACACCACTGACATTGCATCAATACTGTCACATTCCTCAGGCCACAATATATTAATTATTAGATTACCATGCATATTTGAAGAACAATGCTCACACATGCATGCGCACCCAAATATTAGACTGCACAGTTATAATATGCACAGGTAGCTTGAATTCTGGTTGCAGTATGAATGTGTATCATATATACCTGATGTATGGCATATTTATGGAGGACAGATGTAATGGAGCACACAGAGATATGTTGTCATCTGTCGGTACTTCGGAATATCAAAATGGTGTGACAGCTAGGGATAGAAATCTGATGGTCAGTGTGCCTGATGTTGGGCCAGTTTTAAGGTGAGTGTAAGGTTATCAGGGAGATACACTGACCCTGTTTTATGTGGGCCAATGGACAAATAGAACACCAATTGTTAGTACTTGTAGGTGCAGAGACAACACAAATCAGCCAAGTCATTGTCAGCAAGATAAGATAGTGTTGAGATTCCTCCTGTTCATTGACGCAATGAGTATATTGTGACACAGCATGTCCCCTATAGCCATGCTTGTCACCAGGGTTTACTATACTTAGTATGAGGGGCTTGAGGTATGTGCTTGGTGGTTTGTGTGTCACTGTGACCTAGGTTTCATGGATTGTTGTCTAAGCTGTCAACCACTGGTTTGTCTGTCTGCAAGGAATACGACATTCACTCATCTACAATGTCTACAATGTGCACAGGACCCTAGCAGAGATTTACCTAGACAGGCTCAGAGGCCAGAGGGTGATAATCAAGATCTTTCTAAGTCTGCAGGAAATCCCTAACTGAATTAATAAATTCAAAATTCTTGAACATTTATAAAATATGAATAGTAGAATATTCAAATTTTGAACATTATGTTTTCATCCCAGTTTTTTAAAGGGCCTTGCACTTGGAATTCCAGATCAATCTAAACTGTGATATACCATTGTCTGGATATTGCCAGATGAGAACATTTGTCAGAGTCTGAAACACCTTGTAGACCAAGTCCCTGAGCCCACTAACGAATCACAGTGTGTAAGTGTACCTTGTATTTATTCCACTAAGCCAGTGAGTGAGTGAGTTTAGTTTTACACCGCTTTTAGCAATATTCCAGCAATATCATGGCAGGGGACACCAGAAATTGGCTTCACACATTGTGCCCATGTGGGTAATGGAACCCGGGTCTTCAATGCGACGAGCGAACGCTTTAACCACTACACAAAGCCAGTTATAAATTTGACAAATACCGGTAATCTAAACTAATGCATGAAAATTAAGATCTCATGAGGAAATGATTCATAGTACGAGCAATAGATTTACTTTCAGAAATTGAAAAGGTATTACTGACTTCAATGAAAATGGAGGGAGCAAACCTTCATGATTAATAGAGCTTGTTTTTATCTTCCTGGAAGTGAAGTGACGATCTACAAATTCAAAGATTGATGATTGTCCCTGATGGCACACCTAAACATGATGAACATCTTTAGGCACACCTGGTTTCATAGGGCACACCGAGCCATCTCAATTAGTATCCTGCAGCACATTAATGTCAAAGGGCATACCTCAGTATCTCAGTAAGCATCACATGTCTGTAACTGTTTGTGATTTACCTGCACCAAACACAAGCTGAAACTAATTGGGAGAGATGTGGAAACAATGTGTTTCTGTTTGCTAAAATTATCACCAAAGTTCACATTGGTCTGTTGAGTACATGGTGTAGTTCTCATCATTGTTGCTTTACATTAATCATGTGTATTACATTGAAGAAATGTTCTATGTAATCAGTTCAAAACAAAGTTGGTTGAATTTCCAACCAATTTCCATCCAATAATGATTAAACATTCATCATTAAAGATTATGTGGTGAGTACAGGGGCCACATGGGAAATGAGTTAAATACAACTTGTGTGCAACTAATTTTAGATTTATGGTTGAAAATCGGATGATATGGGCAGGAATTCTCAACAATTGTTGACAGTGTTTGTTTTTGAAAAACAATAATTAATTAGCAATTCCAAACACTTTTACAAACCATCATTGTCAGGATCATCAGGTGCTGGATACAACCGGGGTAATCATTTTAAGAAGTGTTCATCACAACAGTTTTTACCAGATTCTAAGGTATGGTTTTGAAATTAGCAATGAGGCAATGTTTATGCTTTGTTTCTTCTGTAAACAAGATGTTTAGACGATGGCTGTCGTTGCTGTGGACTGTGCTAGCGTGGTATTGCGGCAACTCTCAACACTGATGCAATGATGGTTTTTACCTGACTACAACTGTAGAAGTGTCCCTGTGATATTGGAATGAGGTGGTTACAACCTGTGACCTGTGGATGTTTTACTCGGATAATAAGTGTTGTTGTTGTTTATGCTGTAAACTTGAGGGACATTTAACAAGGTTATTGTCAGCCTATTGTTGCACAAGCCTTGTACGCTTACTGTGTCATCTGCACACAATCCCACAGGCCTGTCACAGCTGTTCATACATACAACACTGGGAGAATGTTACGTGTTAAACAAGACAATATGACAGGCAGAGATGTATTTGCTTTCATTTGCTATGTTTGTTAACTCTCCAATTTGATATTATTATATTTTGTGTTTGTTCTCTTCATTGATTTTGACCCATGGTAGCAGACAAATAAAAACTGAATATTATATAGTGTGTCCCAAAGACCAATAAACTCGATAATGCACAGTCACCGTGATAACAGATCTGAATCTGAATTTTATATTAGAAACATTTTCTGTAGATGAGACACTTGTGATACAATATTTTTTTATTTTTGGTGGCAGTAGGGTAACCTAATAGTTAACGTGTCCGCTCGTCATGCTGAAGACCCGGGTTTGATATCCCCGTATGGGTACATTGTGTGAAGCCCATTTCTTTGTCCCCGCTGTGATATTGCTGGAATATTGTTAAAAGCGACGTAAAATCATACTCACTCAATTACTATTTTTATTTTTCATTTTGAGACATCTAGTACATGAAATACGAAACTGTATGAATTATTGCATTATGCATATCGCTTGCCTCATGATAATGTCGAAACTAGCAGGAAAATAATGGAAGCAGTGTTACTGTCATAAAGGGCTTTTTTTTTATTAAGTCAAAATGAAAGTTTCAAGTGTAGTCATCTTTTTTAATAGAATTGTGAAGATAAAGAACAACATGTTGTTGATTTAGTATATTTTTTACAAGGTTCGAAGTCTATAAGTAACTTGATTCAAATAACTACATGTGTTCTCTTGTATGTGACAAAGCCCTACTTTAGGTGGAAGT